GACATGAAGTGCCAGATAAGAAACTGTGCTGGCTCTAGAAGTCCCCAAGATGGGGCAGAGGAGGAAGGAGGCCAAAGGACCCAGGCTTGGCCCCAGAATAATCCCTTCATTATCCTCTTCCCAGCCAATCCCCTTTGCCATCATTGGACTTTGGGGAAGAACACCTCCAATGGGCTTGCAGGTGACCTTCAAGCCAAGACTTGCAGGGACAGGCTCACCCTGAACATCTGCAGCACCACTGTCCCCACCCTTAGGCTGCAGATTCCTGGCCTCACCCCTGTGGAGAGCAGGCTTGCCATCACCCACACACCCAGACCAGGACAGGTCTAAGCCTGCTGCAGAGGGGAAAAGGCACAATCAGTTAGAACCCTGCTTTGTCTTCCCAATTCCAACCAAGAGGATTTGCCAAGGCCCAAGAGAGGGGGCTGACCCCACGGGAATAGCACATCTGGCCCCAAGACTCTGAAGGAAGCCTGGGAATCAGGAGACCTTGTTTGAGGTCCTAGCTGTGGCCCAAGCTCACTGTGCCTCCGTGCAAATCACTTAACCTGCTGGGGCCTGTGTGACCATCTATAAAATAAAGGAGCTGGACCTGGTCCATAAGTCCTCTCCAACACTAAGCCTGATCAGGAAGGAGTTAACAGGCCAGGCTCTGGGTCAGGAAGGCAAGAGTTAATCTGGGGGGGTGGAGGCTCTTTCAGCTTTTCCTGTGGAGAGTGAGGTTTGGCTGCCACCAAAGTTACTTCTAGTCCCTGCTGTCCCTCCAGCCCTCAGTCTGGCCCTGCCCCGGGTCCCCTGCATTCAGCCTTCCCACGCAGAGGTGAGTGTATCTAGAGCCCAGCGCTGGGGTGGGAGGGCACCCAGGAACCACAAGGCAGAGAGGCTGGCTTCCAGCCAATGAGCACAGTCCCCCAGCCCTCCTCTAGAGCAGGAGCCTTAAGCAAAGCTTAGACCACTAAGCACAGGACTGGGAGAAAGTGGGCGAAGGGATGCAGGGCACAGGGATGTCTGCCAGGCATCTAGGGTGGAACATCTGTGGTTGGGCATCAAGGGCAGCCCAGAAGGCAGGGAAGGGACAGTGGATGGCAGACTATTTTGGTCCCTGTGTTTAGAGACTTTTTATAGCCTCTGCACTTGGGACTGGGAAGAGGAGGAGATGACAGGGGATGTGAGGGTGTCCATGAGGTCAGATAAGAACAGTGCCCTGCCGGGACCTTGGAAACTCACCCATTGCCTGGTGTAGCCCTTGGGAGCCAGGAAGGAGGGCACTGTCCGGCTCTCCTCGCTGTCTGGGTTCCCAGTTACCGATGGGCTGACTTACTGGGCACTAGCTGGGTGTGAGTGAGTGTGTGTGTGCACACATGCACGCACAAATCTCAACAGGTTGTGCTGGAGGGGTGGCGGTGGGGTGGGGAGTTGGCAGGGTCTCTGCCCCTTGGCCCCTCACCGGGGCTCCCCTCCCCCATCCCTGACAAGGTCTATTCCTTTGTTGCCTCCAGACTTGAGGTCTCCTGAGCACCCAGCACTGACCGACTCTCTCATCTGAATGGAGGGTGGGGGGAGTGAAAGGGCAGGGGTGGGGTGGGGTGTGCTGAGCCATGTGGGTGGCCCCTTCTGTTACTGCCAAGGAAACTGTCAGCTTTTGATTTACAACCCCTCCTGGCCCCCTTCCCCTGCAGAAGGGAGGTGGAGGGGAAGGGTCATAGGGTCTCAGGATGAGAAGAGGGCAGCGACCTCCAGGGCAGATTTCTGGGAGCGCAGATTTTGGAGTTAGTGGAAGGAAAATTTTTAGTGAGGCAAGAGGCCCATCTCTAGTAGAACTTGCTTGCTTTTGTAGCAGCGGGGACACAAGAAAGGAAAAAGAGGGATGTTCTGACGGGCAAGTGTGAGATCCAATCTGAACCGGCTGGAGACTGAAAGGCAAGAGGCCCGGGTTCTAGACTGGGTCCCTAACTCTCAGTAAGCCCCGAGCAAGCCCCCTCCTCTCTGGGCCAGGGTCATCTTCTATGAAATAGAAATGCAGAGGCAGATAAGGTGATGTTTACAATTAGACATTCTGGAATTCTCTCGACAGGGAGGGGCACAGAGCAGGTAGCTGGCTGACATAACCTGGTGACCGCTGCCTTCTCCTCCCCAACCACCCCGCTGGGCCTGGGCAGGGCAGTTGGCTGCAATTACTGGAGGCCTACCCTGTGGTTATATCCCTGACCTCCGGTGCTGCGGGGTGGGAAGGGTGGGCCCTGCTGGAGCCAGCCTCTGCTTGGGAAGCCTCCTTGTCTTGGACTCCAAGTTGCTGGGCTGGGAAGAGGTATTTTTTCCGGTTGAGGCCACTTTCGGGAATTGGGCCGGGACCAGCCCCATTTCCTTTTCCAAGTGTTGCCTGTTGATGCTTGCTTGGCATGGCCCTGTGACCAGACGGGGCAACACTCAAAGGGGCATATGTTTATGGGTGGCCAGGGAGCCCCTGCCCAATGTCTCTGAGGAATGGAGGTAAGGATTGGCCTGAGCCTCTGGGCCCTGGGCACGGCAGCCGCTGACTCGGCTGGGGGAGGGGTGGCTGGCCTATCCTGTTCCCAGGAATGCCTCCAGAAGAGGGGCAGGGATATCTATCTACTCTGCCCCTGACCGCTTCTCTTTCCCTGCAGGCCCCGGGAGCCCCCGCCAATTGCTCTCAGCGACTCAACTAGCTGCCTACCTCTAGCGGCTTATGGGGCACTGTCCTGTCCAGTCCTGCTAAGATGCTCCTGGCCTCTCCCTCCACCCCATCCAGAGCACGGACCCCCAGCGCGGTGGAGAGGCTGGAGGCTGACAAAGCCAAGTATGTCAAGACGCACCAGGTGATAGTGCGACGCCAGGAGCCAGCCCTGCGCGGGGGTCCAGGGCCGCTCACGCCGCACCCCTGCAATGAGCTGGGGGCCCCTGCATCACCCAGGACTCCCAGGCCCGCCCGCCGGGGGAGCGGCAGGCGGCTGCCAAGGCCGGACTCCCTCATCTTCTACCGCCAGAAGCGGGACTGCAAGGCTTCCGTGAACAAAGAGAACGCCAAGGGTCAGGGGCTGGTGCGGCGCCTCTTTCTGGGCACCCCCCAAGACGCCACCTCCAGCAGCCCAGGCCCTACGGAGCGACCTACAGCTCCTGGGGGTTGGGCAGAGCCCCAAGGTGCCCCAGAAGAGGTGGGAAAGCGAGCGCTGTGCCCCACGTGCTCGTTGCCCCTATCTGAAAAGGAGCGCTTCTTTAACTACTGTGGCCTGGAACGCGCGCTGGTGGAGGTGCTGGGCGCCGAGCGCTTCTCTCCGCAGAGCTGGGGCACTGACGCCAGCCCCCAGCCTGGAACGCCACAGCCACCCGGCTCTGGGGGTGCCAGCGACTGGACGTCCAGCGATGGAGGCTCTGAAAACTCGGATCATGTAGGCGGAGGCCGAGGCGGCGAAGGCTCGGAGGCTGCAGGCTCAGCGCGGGACGAGCGCCCCCCGGTGTCCGTGGTGGAGCGCAACGCGCGCGTCATCCAGTGGTTGTACGGCTGCCAGCGCGCCCGTGGCCCACCACGCGAGTCTGAGGTGTGACCGCAGTCTCTCGGGAGCGGGCTCCCGGGGAGTCTGGGGTCCAGGGATGATCAGGGGGTAAGCACGGGGCTGGACCCGGTCACGGGCAGGGACGCCCTGCCACTGACACACAGGTTACCTTTTGGCAAGCCCTACCCCTCTGGACCTTGGCTTCCCCAAATAAACATGGAGGCATGGGACAAAATGATTCCCAAGGCCCTTCCTAGGGCAGACAACGGAGGCGGAGGAGGCGGAGGGGCCACCTCGTGGCCCCTGTGGAGACCGGGTCTGGGGAGTGAAGACTGGGCTGAGAATTTCAGAGAACCTGCTGAATAAAGTCAAAACATTAAGCCAGCCGTGAGGTTGATGTTGAGGAAGGGGCGGGGGGGGGGGTTGCAAGTGTGTATCTCGTGGGTTTTGGAGTGTGGGTTCCAGGCTGTGTGACCGTCCCCCCCACCCCCCTCCCGTGAGCACTTAACATCTCTGGACTGTAGGTGTGCCTTTCACGTGATCAAAATATTTTTGAAATAGTTGTAAAGCTCATGGCTACGAGCCAGCACATAGAAAGAAAGAGGCGCTCAGCGGACGACAGTTGCTATGGGCACTACCGACTCAGAATCTAGTTACACTATTACGACCGTGTCCTCCGCCGGCCCAAACTAGATCCAGGAACCAGAAAGTGCATGTTTAAAGGGTTCTGGGGAGGGGCCTTCCCTAGAAATCTGGGGTCCAGGGATGTCTACAAGGTCCTCATTCATGAAGTTTGTGGACACCTTTTGGTTACTAGATATGAAGGGCTGAACCAGAGTTGAGGACAATAAAGGAAGGGACCCTTCACACTAGGATTGTGCCACCGAGCCTCACATCCGGCCACTGTCTCCTTTCCCTCCAAGACACACAAGGTTACCTGCCTTCCTCACACGTTTGCACCTCTAAGTCTTCGTTCACCGTCCTCCTTCTGTCTGGGTTACCTTCTCCTTTCTCTCCACTTGTCCTTCTAAGATTACACATGTTCATTCTCCCTAAGGAACTCCTGAATTCCGCAGTCAGCCTCATCTCTGAGTCCCCAAATACAGCCCTGTACTTTGAGTCTCAATTTGTCACCTGTGTGGAACCCACTGATAGTCTGATTCTCTTGTTAGTCTGTGACATCTTAGTACAAAAACGGCGCACATAGTAGGGTCACAGGCAACGTTTGCCAAATTAAGAGGCTGGACAGAGCCATGGAGTCTGTCCTGGGGGGTTCCCCAGCTTCCTGGAAAGTTGTACCCTAATTCTAACACTATCTATCTGATACCCAGTCTTTCCCTGGTCATTTTCTCCCTGGATGTTTGTGAGATAAGGAGGGAAGGATTCCTCTAGCTGGACCCCCACCCTGATGTCGCCCGCCCCAAAGCAGCTTTCCTGGCGGTCCTGACAAAAGCACGCGGTCACACGGGCTGTCGGCGCAGGGTTTTTTTATGTTGGTGGGGAGGAGTGGGCGCCCAGTTCGGCCGTCTGGCTAGTCCCCTTTGGGCGCAACCTTCAACCTCATCTCAGCCAGTTTGTGAGTGAGGAAGCCCCACTTGAAGTCAGCAGCCGTGTCGGCCTCCTGTGGCTCCACGCGCTGGGCGGCCTCCTCCGTGGCCTCTTCCCCGGCTTCGGGGACCTGCTCTGGGGTGGGTTCCACGCTGCGCAGCACAGACGCCGCGGCGGCCTGCTGCTGCTGCCACCTGCTGGCAAATGCATCCCAGAATCCTGGCCCGCGCGGCTCCGCCTCTGCCTCTGCCTCCGCCACCGCTGCTTGGGATGAGGGCGGTGCAGCTAGTGGGCTGCAGGAGACAGGTGGGGTGACAGATAAGCGGAGAGGTCCCGGAGAGCACGAAGAAGAGGAGGCGGGGTCTAAGGACCAGTAATGGGGCCAAGGGACCCGGGACTGGAGGGGCCGGGAGACTGGGCGCAGCTTGGGACCTGGAGGTAGGGTGAGGGCTCAGAGGCACCCGGAAAGGGGGCTGGGGTGGGACAGGGTCTGGGGATTAAGAAAGCAACTCCAAGCGAGGCCAAAGGAGGAAAGCCAGAGGCGTCAAGTCTCAGGGTGGACCCCTGGGAAAGGGGTGGGGCCCCAGTGATTCGCGAGAGTGGCGTGGGACCGGGAGGGGCGGGGGAGGGGCAGGTTCAGACTCTGGAGGCTGCGGTCAGGAAAGCTAAGGGTGGACCACGGGAAAACAGGCGGGGCGGGGACTGGGGTCAGGTACTGCCATGGAGGGATAGGGGGACCAGGAAAATAAGTGGTCACCGGAGAAAGACGGATGGAGCGACCCCAAGGGAAGAAGAAAGGTCTAAATCAGAGGTTCAGGGGAAGGGAGAGGGGACTCAAGAGGTAGCAAGGTGATGTGGGGGTATGCCTTGAGGTCTGAGGAAGAGCCCTTACAACCTTACAAAGCTGGGAAGGAGAGGAGATAGGTTCTGGGAGAGATGGCTGGGTCAGGGGGCCCAGGGCAGAATGGAGTAGGACAGCGTCGAAGGGTGTGTGTGACTGGGCTGGAGGAAGGGGAAGAGATGCAGTGCATGCCAGAAACAGACTAGGAGGAAGACTGAGGCCCTGGGTCCTCCCCGCTAACCCTCCAGCATCAAAATCATGCTAAGACTGGTCCCTAAACTACTCGGATCATCAGAGAGCTTGCTGAAAATCTTGGTGCCGGGCCTCAGCCCACACCTGCTGAGCAGAATCTTTGGAGGGTCTGGGAATTTGTGTTTGTCACAAGCTCTCTGGGAGGATTGAGAGTTTAGACCAGTATTTGGGAACCACCGATCTGGACCACCTTCTGTTCCAAATACCTAAAGGTTCTCTGCACAGTTAGTTCCCTGGTTAAAGAGAGATGACATCCCCCCACCCACCCAGCCAAATGGATGGAGGGAGGGAGGGGGAGGGAGAGAGAGAGAGCGAGCCCATAATACCTTCTAGCACCTCAGTCCTAAGAGCTGGTAAATTCCTCCTGAGACCTAACCTAATTTCCCAGATAGGCTCATTTGGCCTCTTACCTGCTAAGAGAAACAGATACAGCAGGGGCTGGCCCTCCCCACCCCTCCAACAGACCATATGTAAAGGCCATGGAGAAGGAGACCTCAGGCCCATCCCAGAACCTACACCCTACCCACCCCCCGCCCCTGCACACACACACACACACATACTGGTCAGCACAGGGTTCCGGTGGCAGCAGCTTGTCCTCATCTTCTTTGTTAAACAGAGACGACATTGTCAGCCAGCCTTTCACCCCGACCCCCTGAACCTGGGAGGGAGGAGCTGGGAGTCAGTGAGGGGCCAAAGCACCCGGTCCCAGGGCCCCCGGGCAGCCTCTGCTGTGTTCCTCAGGGCTACATGGGAAGAAGGGAGAACTCACCCGGCGGGCCAGCTGTGACATGGGATTCAAGGCCTCTGGGGTCGGCTCTGCTGTCTCAGGCTCCACTAAGGCTGGGTTCTCCTTCTGGGACACAAGACTCCCCTCAGTATGAGAGAGGCCCCAAGGGAATAAGAACTCCCTCCCCCACTGCCGGCCTGGTACACATACACCAGGCGCCCCAAACTCCACAGGACCAAATACACACCTCGTCCCCTCGCACCCTGCACAAGTACATACAAGTACTCCTCTAAGCAAAATGACCAGTCACATACATTAGCTGTATAGAAAAATCCCTCCAGAAGCCCTTGAGCACACATACATGCCCACCTACAGACACATCCATACACACCCAGAAACATGTGGACACTGGGCACGCACACTGACGTACACACACCTGTGCGTGAGCATGCCTCTACATGGCTATAGCTCTTCAACTATATGTGGCTGTACGCACTGTGAGGCACTTATACAAGGACATGTACACAAGTATACTATTCACACTGGTGTACCTCTACAACTGCAGACAGCTGCACAGAGGACCACCCACAGCACGCAAAACCCCTGCACCCATCCGCAGACACCAAGACACAGATGTATACACAAACACCCACCCCATAGGAACAGAACACCCATCGACCATGCAGGCACGGGCTTCTGCCCAAATGTACACACCTGAAAATACCTATACCTGGTTCACACGTGCACATACACCTTCACTGGGGATTCCACACGGACACCAATCCTAACAGCGACCTGCAAATACTTCTACACATGCCCAGCCCCGGACACCAACCTGTCTAGATATACACTAATTTGCACGCACGCGTGCACACACACACACACACACACACACACAGCACAGGACGTGTCCCTGCCCCTGCCACATCTATTTGCACAGTTGCTACTTATCACGACCTCTAGATGTCAGACTGTGTCAGAGCCTTTTCAGTTTTTAACATCAGGATAAACACCGTCCAAGTGTGGCTCTGATCTGATGCTGTGACAGTGACCCTCGGAATACAAGTGTCACTTTGCCTACCTCCCGTATCAAGGGGCTCACTTCCCCCTCAAGGCAAGCCATCCCACTCAGCTTAGCTGTGCCCATCAGAAAGTTGTGTCAAGCTGAGTGTACCTTGTGTGGCCACTGCCAGGGGGCCTAGAAGGGTCTCTTCCCTGTGGCAGCCCTTGAGATCTCTGGAGATAGTGACTAACCCTCTGGTGTCCCCCAAGTCTTCTCTGATTGAATGTCCTGGCCTTCTGACACTGCACCATGCCATGTGTCATCCCTGAATGTGCTGATGACTTCCACACAAATGTGCCCCACCCCAAGCCTGTCCCTTGCCCTTCTTTGTGCCTTTCATTCCCGATGCCCCCCATTCCTGCCCCACACAGCAAGCATGGATGGTACCCACCTCCTCTGTCAGGTCCTCCTCAGATTCCCCGCTCAGGGTCTGTAGCACTTTGGATTTGTAGGTTTTCCAGAAGGTCTGGTTCATAGTTGCAGGGGAAATGGGTCTGGCACCCAGGCACAGGAAGGCAGTGAGAGGCTCGGTGGGCACCCAATGGGTCTGGCTTTAGAAACTTGGTGAGACAGAGAGCCTGTCCCAGGGATCTGGTGACTTCATTAAAGATGCACCAGCCTCTCCAGCTGGCACAGTGCCCAGCAAGTGAACTGATCCAAAGTCATCCAGGGTGGGGGTGACACAGAGCCAGCTCTGCCACCTCAGCCCCTTGTTGTGACCCATATTGGCTAAGAATAATGAAGACATCTCTCTCCACAGTGGCCTCCTTCGTGGGCCGAGAAGTTCTTGAATTTGATCTCTTGGAATGGCTTCAGAAAAATCCTCTTCCTTTCACTAAGTCCATTTCCAAAGTCCTTGGACCTAGGTCCCACACTGGAGCTCCTGTGACTACAGCCATACCTGCTGTGCCCTCCACAGGGCCCTGCCCTGTGTCCCCACTTAGCCTCTGTGAATTGCAGTGGGACAGTCTCAGGGCCCCCAGGCAGTTCCCTGGGCTTACATTTCACTGTTTTGTCTGGGCTGGAAACTGATTCCCCAGGGATGCACGTGCCTGTCTCCCTGTTTCCTGGCAACAGGTTCCAAAGAGCTGGAGCCCCTGAATTATTACTGAGCTCCTCTGGTCAGCCTGGAAGGCACCAGGCCCCGGTGAATGGGAAAAGGCTTCTCTGGCCCTCTCCCTACTCCGAGCACCCAACACCGAGGCTGTATCTTTCTCTCTGCCTTCGCTGCTAGCCCACACATGGGAGTCCAAGGCTCAGAGAAAGGAAGCAAAGATGGGAGGCCCTCCCAGGAACACCTCCCTTTCTTGTGGAGGGAGCTGATCCCTCTTAAGTCTGACAGAATGCCTGAGCACTGTGATCTATGGGGAGGAACACCCCTTCCACCCTTCCCTGGGGTTTGGCTGGGGGTGGGGGGGTGGGGATGGACAACGGAGGGAATAATTGGGGAGCAAGTGAGAAGGGGCTAGGATTTGTCAGGGAATGGAGGTATCTCAGGCAGCCCTATGGGGACTGGAACCCCAAACTTATTCAGTCTCATTCATGTATTAATTTCTTCCCGTAACACATTTTTCAGCGTCTCCCGGAGGGACTTAAAGCATGTCCCTCCTCCACCGCGGAGGAACAAGAAGGAGTGATGGGGCCAGAGGATAACGCTGAGATAGGTGGTGCGGTTCGAGGATGGCAGGGTAGCGGGACGCACAGGAATCCCCCAAGAGCAGGCACCATCCCCGCCCCCTTCCCCAGCGACGACCCGAAAGGCCTTCTCACGTCCACGGGTTAGGACATTTCGTTGGGTCCTCCCCCGGACCCCGTCACTGATATTTATGACCGCCAGAGGTCGCTCAAGGCGCGGCCCGTGCGAGTGACGCCATCAGAGTCGGTCTGCTCGAGCCTGCCCCGCCCCCGGGCGTCCATGACGTCATTGAACAGTCCGGAAGCGCCGGCACGTGAACTTCCCTGGGCTCTCCGGTTCCGCTGTCACCAGCCATGGGTCGCTCCCGCCGGACTGGTGCGCACCGAGCTCACTCTCTGGCCCGCCAGATGAAGGCGAAGCGACGGCTGCCGGATCTGGACGAGATTCACCGCGAGCTGCGGCCCCAGGTTCCCTCACGGCCCCGGCCAGACCCAGGTGCCCAACCCGACCCTGACTTGCCGGGGGGCGGCCTGCATCGCTGTCTGGCCTGTGCGTAAGTCCAGGCCCCGGGCGCGCGGAGTCTCCTCTCTTGGGATCCGTGGGTCTGTGGGCCTCCCATCCCTTGAGACCCGAAGCTTGGCGTCAGGGAATGAGATGTGGTCAGGGAGATAGACGTATCTGAGAGGCATCAGTCACCCCCTCACTCTCCTATTACTCCTCATCCCTACAGGAGGTACTTCATCGATTCCGCCAACCTGAAGACCCACTTCCGATCCAAAGACCACAAGAAAAGGTATGAAGAAATAAGGACAGGATTCACGGGTGGGTGCCTGAGTTACAGGGCTCTCATCTGGGCAGCTCCCAACTCCTCTTTTTTCTCCCAGGTTAAAGCAGCTGAGTGTGGAACCCTACACTCAGGAAGAGGCTGAGAGGGCAGCGGGTATGGGCTCCTATGTGCCCCCGCAGCGGCTGGCAGTGCCCACAGAAATATCCACTGAGGTCCCTGAGATGGACACATCTACCTGACATGGCCTGAGGATGCAAAGCAGAGGAGCTGCCCATGGACAGTGATGCAGGGTTACGCTGGGAAAGACTGTGCCAACCTTTTTCCGGCCTGGAGTTTGTTGAGTGGATGGCTTCTTCTGGGTGCCCCTGCCCCCCCCGCCCAAATAAAGGAACTGGATAAAGAGTGCTTGCTTCTGACTCCCTAACCTGCAGGGCACTTGCCTAACTCCTGCCCTGTGATGACTTCTCTACTACTATTGTGGGCAGGACTTGGGGTGTCTATTCCCTATTTGGTCTAACTTTGGAACCTGCATCCTCGCCTTCCTCGGGGGGGTCCTGGCCTCCAGGCCGGAGCCCCCAGGCAGAGCCCAGGTGCAGTAGGGAGAGGTGGGGAGTAGGGTCAGGTTTATACTGCACCGCTTCCAATGAGGGCAGGAAAGAAGCGGGATCCCAAGATTGTAGTCCCTGGTAAGTTACCTACCCCCCAGGGCACAGGTGAGAAGCTTCCCACTTCTTCATGGGGCCTGTGGTGGTGGCTGTTGTCCCACCATCTTCCAGACAGCGTAGCAGGAGCCACCCAGTCCAAGGACAGCCAGCAGTGTAGCGACAACCCCAGCCAGCGGACTCCGGGGCTCTGCCTTCAGCTCCCCCGCCACCTGCATCTAGGGATGTACAGAGGGGTCACCTGAGCGGTTAACTGAGACTTCTAGTAAGGGAAGGTGCTGAGAAAGTACAGCCGGGTGAAGGAGATATGGCCGCCATTGCTGCCCCAGGGCGATTCCACCCCAGTCCCTCTCGCTTCAGTGCCCATCTAGGCCCTGGCTGCTCATGCGGCAGGGAACGTGACAATGTTCCCTGGCTGTTGGAGCCGACAACCCAGCCATGATAGGGGGAGGAAGGGGTCCGTGCCAAAAACTGTAAATTAGGGGTACTTACCTGTAGAATCCGGAAGTAGCCAGGAGTCAGGCGTCGAAATTGCATGATGGGCGCCACTAGTCTCCCTGGCAGCCTGTGGGGTGGAAGCAGGAGTGAGGACCCGTGGTGTTCATGGTACCAAGAAGTAGAAATATCAGGGGAGAGAGGTTCCTGATCTCTCATATGCATAAGAACCGCGCCCTTGGTGGATGCTCACCAGAATCTGCCCTCCTAGGTCTAGCGAGGGGCGGGGCTGCTGCACCTTTAAATCTGGTCCCTTCCCCCCGCCTGTCCGCCTGCCTGCCCTGCTAGCCTTAGGAGCAGCTGTCAGGAGAGATCAGCATCAGGCCTGAGTAGCACCTCCCCCACCCTCCAGGGAGGCCATGCTGGGTAGCCAGGAGAGGCCTTGCCTGACAGCGCTCTGGAGTCTCAGGCCTGTATCAGGTCCTGGAGGGCTTCTGAAGCCCTGGTCCTGGCCCCATCCCTATCTCAGATGATTGGATGTCACCAATCAGCTCTCAGCAAAGGAGGGAAGGAGTACCTTAACTGCCCCCCTCCCCCCCAAAAATGTAGTGCTCCTTTTTTCCATTGGTCTTGGCTGAATCAACCACCCCTACCTTTGGAGAGAGCACATATCACCCCTTTCCCCAACATGGAGTTCCTGCAGGGACTTTCCTACCCTCAGCTTGGGAACAATAATAAAAGATTTGCATATAGTGATTAACAAGGCTTATTATATTTTTTAGTACATCATAGGCAGCAGTATTCTAAGTACATGTATCATTTCATTTGGCATTGATTATCTCGTAAAATGAAAAAAGCCATATTTGCGGAATAGTATGTAGAATATCTACATGCTTAACAGTGGTCCCCACTGGGGAATGAGCTAAGGATGTGCTAGGAAGGTCCTCTTTTTATTTAATGACCTACAGTTATGTAATGACCTTTGAAATTTTTACAGCAAATATGTAAAAAGGACTTTTGTGAACTCATAAAACTACCTTAAAATAGAAGCTACTATTTATTGTGCCCCTAACTGCCTTGCCCTGCCCAGTGCCGGGTGCCAGGGGCACCGAGAATAGACACTGTCGTGGTTGTTAGGCCCCAGTCCTCCTAGGGGAGTACGTGAGTATAGCTGGTGAGTTCTTGTCTGTTGCTCCTGTACAGGATTGGGAGTTCGGGAGGGCAGAGGCTGGGTGGCTTCTCACTTCTGTATCTTGTGCCAGCTCAGGGTAAGTGTTTGATGACATCAGGATGGTGCAGATGCGTCTGCCATAGGGAGGCTGTTATAGGAAGAAAGAGGCAAAAAGAAAAAATGAGGACGCAGCATGGAGGAGGATTGGAGGGGCCATGCAGTGCAGGGTGTGAGAACGTGAGGCAAAGGACAAAGCCAGAGAGGTGAGGGCCGTGCTGCAAATCTGGAGCCTACTGGTTCTCAAAAGAGGGAGCTAGACCTGCCGGGCCCAGGTGAGCCGGGCATAGAGGGCTGTCACCAAACCCACTTTCAGAAGCAGAAACATGCACTGAGCCAGGAAGGGAGTCCTCTTTGAAGGAAGCGCCGACGATCTGCACTCGTGTTTGGTTCTATGAGTGCAGGTGAGATGGGGTCAGCAGAGCTGGCCAGGTTCCAGAGACTCAGTTTGTATGCGAAATTATTAAATGATGACAACACACACCCATAACACACACACACACACACACACACACACACACACACGACATGGGCATCTGTGGGCCAAATTCAGACTTTAGGTCTTGGTTACAGGCAGAGTAGTGATAGGCTTTGAAAACCAGGTCTTGGAGCACTGGTAGGGATTTCAAATTAGGTGACACAGTCATAAGGGTGGGCTCTAGGAAGGCCTCCCCACAAAATTAAAGCAATAACTCAACTCTTCCTCGTGTTATGGATTTCAAAATACTTAAACGGCCTCCTCACAGCACTAAGGTCTAGGTGCTGCCCCCGCCCCCTTTAGAGAAGAAAAAACAAGTTCAGAGAGGGGTAGAGTTTGGACTCAGTCTTAGAGCAAATGGAACTGATTCTGATTCCAAATCCTGGGAGTCTCATAGCCTGGGCTGGCCTCTGCTAATAATGAAACTGCAAACATTTAGTGTGTTTCAGATGGTCTAAGAGGAAGACTCTTTTTTTAAAAAAAGACTTTAATATTTTTAGACAGAGGGGAAGGGAGGGAGAAAGAGAGGGACAGAAGCATTAATGTGTGGTTGCCTCTCGTGTGCCCCCTACTGGGGACCTGGTCTGCACCCCAGGCATGTGCTCTGACTGGGAATTGAACCAGCGACCCTTTGGTTCACAGGCCGGCACTCAATCCACTGAGCCAAGGGGAAGACTCTTAACCTGGGCTTCAGAGTTCAGGGGCCCATAAACTTGGATAGAATATATATATATATAATATTTTTTTCTCTCTAAGCTCTAACCAAAATTTGTCATTTCCTTTTATATGGATTGAAGTGTTAGCAGTATCTGTGGCTTTGTCTCCAATAGAAACCACAGATTTTCATATCGAATTGTGATTATTGCATGTACCTCAAAATATTTATGCTCATAACTATTTCAAAATCCTGATACTTTTTAAGCCCCTGTTAAATCACACCAGTTTCAGACACTCCTGCAGTAGAGCTGGGCACCGCTGTGAGGGTCCGTGACCTAATGGCGAATCCTCCTGTTTTCCTATCAGTAACTCAGGCTTCTCTGTTACTTCCTTGCATTCTCTATCCTTAGTTGATTGCTGGTCAGTTGGTTTCAGGTACGTCAATGACCACCCCTCAGTTCAATGTTCTTACTCAAGCTGAGCAATAACACACTGATGTTATTAGAAAAGGAAATATAACTTTGATAACCTGCCAGTCTTGTTATTTAATGATAATAAAAACATTACCATATTATAAATTTGTGGTTTTTACATTTTTATACTAATTGTCCTCCATGTAATCTTCAGCATTTTGTTTTACACTTTTAAAATTATTATTCTGAGTAAGGGTCCAGAGATTTTACCAGATTGCCAATAGGGTTCTTGGTACAAAAAAGATAGGGGCTAAGATCCCTGCTCTAAAAGATTTAGAGCTATTAATTTGGGAATTCTGCACAGCAGCCCATTTTGCAGACAGGAAAACTGATGCAAGGTGGGTAAATTATCCCCTGGTTCCGCAGCTAACAAGCTGCAGAGCTGTGCTTTGCGGCTTCGCTCACTGTTCACTTTTCAGCCCCTTTTTGAAAAGCCCCTTATTTCAAGGTCGGGTCTTGTGAGGCCAGTTTGGGGCGGGACCCCAGACGAGCTCTGAGGTCTCATGGGTCAAACACCAACGGCACCGCCCCTGTATCGAGCAGCCCGGCTGCCCAGGGCTGTCCGAAGGGCGTGTACAAGGCGGACAGGCGGTGGGCCAATGGCAGACTCAGTGCCTCACCTGGCCAGCCACGTGGGCCCAGGTATGCCGGTGGCTCCGCCCAGTACCCAGCCCGGCCCCTCCCCAGCCCTGGGCTCTGGGAGCGGAAATTCCTGCGCTCGCGGGACAGAGCGAGTGCCCATCCCATCCGGCGGACTCTGCCATGGAGCCAGTAGAGACCTGGACCCCCGGGAAGGTGGCAGCCTGGCTGAGAGGTGGGTGGGGTCGGGGCAGAGTTGGTCTTGAGGAGCATTAGGACGGGGAGAGGTAAAGGAAAAAGGGCCTGCTGAGACCGTCAGTAGGTTAGTGTGTGAACAAGTATTTATAAGCGGCTACCATGTATGCGATACTCTGCCAGGCAGAGATGAGCCCGGGAGGCCCGAGGAACCAAAACAGGTCTCCCATTGCCTGGAGCATCCCAAGAGACCCCGGGGCTGGCGAAGGGAAGGCGGTGGGTGTAATGAAAACAGAGGGGGACGGCCCCGGCGCTGCCCACACCCACTATTCTGAGCGTTAATCTGAGCGTTAACACCCACTATGTGTTCATCTTCCCTCCGACCCAGGGCGGAGAGAGCTGTTATTAAACCCATTTTTCAGAAGCGGAAACTGACGCATTGAGCCAGGAAGTGATTTGCGCAGGCTTTGGCACAGGGCCGACCCTTTTCCCTTCTCCCCGCCGATGCTCCCAGGGTGTGAAGCTGAAGCCCCAGCCAGATGAAAGGGTTGGCACAGCCCCTTCCGCCCCAGGGCCCTCCAAGGGAGATGTCCCCAGGCTCAGTGAGCCCAGGTGGGTGGGAAAGGGCCCAGACGCCGGACAGACCCAGAGAAGTGAAGACCTCTGACATGCTGGTGGGAGGGGGAGGCATGTCAGGTGGTTTCCTCTAGAGGGGGAGGGGGAGAGGAAGGGCAGGAGTATACTAGGGGCAGGTTCAGGGTAACCAGCCCTCATAAAAGCAGGGATTCAGGGTTGAATTCAGACTCCCAGACTGGGTTTTAGGCCCAGCCCCTGCACTTGCCACTTCTGTGACCATAGGTCTCAGTTTTCCTCTCCATTAAGTGAGAATGGCAACTCAGGCGTCATGAAGTGCATAGCGACACAATCATGCCAGGTGCCTGGGCTGTGTAGCTCAGTGCCAGGGTCTGTGGGAGACAACACAGCACACTCACTATACACTGGCAAGAAGTCGCTCAAGTGCCTACAGCCATGGAGTGCCAGGTTTATGAACCCCTGTCCAGGGCTCTAACGTCACGCAGGGAACGAGGGAGAGCTGTCGGTCACACACAGCTTCTCCGAGAGGGCATTTGACTTGGCTTGGAATGGCAGGAATTCCTTCAAAGAGTGAGCAGACTGTTAACCTTTATCTGTATCAGTTTTCTCATCTGTAAAATGGGAATAGCAGTAGTCTCTAGCTTTAGATTTGGTGAGGATCAAATGTCTGAATATGTTTAAAGCCCTTAAAATGTTGCTCCACTCATAGTAAACATTCAATAGAGATTTTTCTTATTTTTGAAGGTCTACCTCGTGCCAGGCAGGGCTGGAATTAGAGAAGAATGGTTATTTAAGGCCCGGTCCTTGAAGAGCTCTTGATAAAGTGGAAGAGGCTGTGCTCAATTGCAGGGCTTTCTGGAGGCACAGGGGGCAGTGGGGGCAGCCTGGGGAGCTGTGGGATGCTCCCTGGAGGGCATTAGATGAAAAGGGAGTGAGGGAGCTGGAAGAGCAGTCCAGGCAGAAGGAGTAGCA